ATTCCATTTTTTAGCTGCATTCTATCAGTATTTTCTACATGTAGTTACATTTTAACAGGAAATATTTGGCCTGTGGTATAGCTGAATTCCTATAATGCAAGTATTTTTATAACATGATTCCAATATTATTATTTTATATAGCAGATAGAACTCCAAATACCTACCTGCTTCCCCCCAACCCCTTTCTGCATTCTTTAAAATATGAGGTATAGCCCAGCCAGGTATGGCTCAGTGGGTGAACATCAACGATGTACCAGGAGGTCATGGCTCGATTCCCAGTCAGGACACGTGCCTGGGTTGTGGGCTCAATCCCCAGGAGGAGGCATGCAGAAGGCAGCCCATCAGTGATTCTCTCTCATCATTAATGTTTCTATCTTTCTTCCTCTCTGAAGTCAATAAAAATATATTAAAAATAAATAAAATTATATATATATATATATATATATATATATATATATATATATATATAGTAGGTATTTTGTGAGCATGTTTTTTAAAGCTGGGAACAGTGAAACAAGGAAGGGTGTAGAACAGAAGAAGCAAGAGGAGGGAGCCTAGGAGGGAATGTTGGCTTACTGAGAAATTAGCCATAGCGACAGAAGTGAGCTTACTGAGAAGGCAGAGAAAGGGAGCCTTGGAGATAGGTTCTGGGGGTCAGCCGAAGAGGAGCTACCACTGCCACCACTCCCCTGGCCACAAGTCTCCTGAGACCCTTAGAGTTTAAGAGATGCATGCATGTGGAGGAAGAAGAGGGGGAAGGGAAAGCAGGCATGCTCCTGGGAGAGAGGGTGCACCTAAAATAGCAGGTATACTATTTCTGATAATCAAGCACAAACTTAAGCATCAATTAAACTTACTGGCTATGTCTTAGATTGAGATGGGAGGACAGCATTTGACATCTTAGTATTACCGTGTTTCCCTGAAAATAAGACATCCTCCGAAAATAAGACCTACTTACAGGTTTCCTTCTGAGTGAAATATAAGGCATCCCCCCAAAAATAAGGCCCCCCTAGGCTAAACATGAGAGATTTGGTCCACTGATTCTGAAAGAAATGGAGTCACAGGAAATTCAGGAATTGGATTGTTATGATGTTCCAGAAGATGATGACATGATTGTCACTGAATAAATGAGTAAATTCTTGATACTGTAGGATTCACAGTTTGTCTGGTTTGTGTTGACAACTACTGTACTACCGTACCATATACAGGCAATAAATTTCCTTTATTTTCATTTAACAATAAACGTGTACCGTATTCTTCTTCATGGGAAAAATAAGACATTCCCTGAAAATAAGACCTAGAGCATCTTTGGGAGCAAAAATTAATATAAGACACTGTCTTATTTTCAGGGAAACAGGGTAGTTTGATCTAATTTCCTTGCAAAACATTCTTTGTAAACAAGAAGTGGAGGAGTAGATTAGATGGTTGAAGAAAACTTAGAGAAGCACCAAGAAAATACCACTTCTCCAGAAATATCAAACAGTAAAAGTAATCCCTTAAAATTGTTATATTGTAAATCATCAAATGAAATACAAGACGCCTTAATAAGCCAATGAATTAGGAGTTGTTTATTGCACGAGGCCCAGAGGAGGTGTCTCTTCCAAATCTCAGCCCCACATTCAGGAAGTTTCCCCATATTTATACCCTTCGAGACTCTTTGCAGATATTACAAAGAACTCTGTGTGAGTTACTGTTACAGACAGTTGTAACCTTGAATACATAATGAGTTTGTAAGAATATGAGAATTGTTATCGGTATTAGTCTATTTTAAGCTATCACATTGGATGGCTAGCTTGCAAGGTCAGACAGTTAAGTTTATCTTTTTCTATTATTTGAACTAAAAACAAAGTCATTTTATAGAATAAGAGACTGTCTTAAAGTGGCAGAGTTTATAATGATAGAGTTCACAGGGACAGGGCTTACAAGAATGGGGTCTATCTAACAATAGCAGAGAATTCAAACAGCAGTTTTATACAAGATGGAGGTTACTGAGCTTCAAAATAAAGTGTTGTGCAATTTTAACATTTGTGCCCACTTGGTGTTCCAACTATCTTTACATTTTAGTGGACTCTTAGGTGTTAAAGAAACCCTTGCAATCAAAAAGGAATAAGAATTTAAGGTGACATAGTGAAGGTACTGCCACTAGCTCCCTCTTATGATATTGGTATTATGAATTAAAAACCTCCTCTGCCTGACCTCTAAGTGTTGGGATGTCTCAAGGCTGAGTCCTTCATCCTCTTTTCTCTTCCCCAGGTGACGCCATCTACTTCTAGAGCTTTTGATGCCATAAACATAATAAATTAAATAGGTATTTCCAACTATGCCCACTTCCTGAGCTCCTGGTTCTTCTGCTCAACTGCTTCCTGAACATTGCCTCTTGTCTATTAGCATCTCAAACTTCCTATGAAGGAAACCTGACTCTTATTTTCTCCTTTCTAGGCCGTATCCCAAACATTTTCATCTTAATGGCATTGCCACTGCTAAGCCTCAAAACCTAGGCATCCTTGCTACATCCATCTCACCCCTGACAGAGGTGGAGCCCCCATGAAGCTCATGAAGTTTAAGCTGCAGGCCCTTCACTTGCACAGAACTCTCCCAAGGCACTTCATTTTGTGTTCGGTTTATTTTTCTTACAGAGGAGCCTCAAATTCTGTAAGTTTCAGGTCCCACAAAACTTGGGTCTGCCTCTGCACCCTACATTTGCCTCTATTTCAAAAGAAAAGTATTTAAATCTGACCACTTTGGACACAGTGGATGGCTAAAGTCCCAGCCACTATCTTCTCTGACCTGGAGTCCTATGATGACCTCCTAATGCTCTCTCAGCTTCCCCACTCCCTCCTACAGTGTATTTCCTATGTAGTAGCCAGAATGATCTTTTAAAGATGATTTCCAGGTCATACCTCCTACTTAACCATCAAATGGTTTATCATTCCACTTATAAAGTCATACAACTAAACTATCACAATGCCCTAGTCAGTGGTAGGCAAACCACGGCTTGAGAGTCACATGCAGCTCTTTGGCCCCTTGAGTGTGGCTCTTCCACAAAATACCACATGCAGGCATGCACATACAGTGTAATTAAAACTTCTTGGCCCATGCGCAGAAGTCGGTTTTCAGCCTGGGCGAGTCTATTTTGAAGAAGTGGCGTTAGAACACTCAAGGGGCCAAAGAGCTGCATGTGGTTCACAAGCCGAAGTTTGTCAACCACCGCCCTCAGTGATCTGCCCACTGCTTAACCCCAGCCCCTTCCCTCAGAGCTTACTCCCCTCTCGCTATAATCTTTCCTTGTTGGAATACACCAGACTCATTTTTGCCTTAGGATTTTTGTACCCCTGTCTCCTATGTTTGGGGGAATTTCCCTCATTTCTTCACTTATCTCCCCATTTTTCAAGTCTCAGTTCAAATATCACCTCCCCTCCCCTCAAAACACTGTGTCCCTAAAGTAGTACCCAACTCTGCCCCAGTCATTCTTGACCTCATTTTCCTTTTCTTCAGTGGTCACTATTTAAAATTATCTTGTCTACCCAGTTTACTGGTTCATTGCCTGATATCTCTGAAAAGATTGCGAGCTCCATGGAGGTGGGAACCCAGTCTGCTTGCTCACTGCTGAATCACAGCAGCCTGAGTGCCTACTACAGAGAAGGTGCCCAATAAGTATTTGCTTTAAAAAAAAATTGTTTGTTGACTAAATACTAACAATAAAATGTGGCATGAAATACTACTACACAAAGTGGGTAGAATTGAAGAATATGAATATTATAAAATTCTTTTTGTTTTTTTCCTCATGAACTTTAGACCATCAAAGAAATCTATCCTGCCAGGGGATGCTAGTTTGAGATGTGGATTGATGTCACAATTAATATTTCACTATGTATGCCATCATAATGCATGAGGTAAAATGTGTATAGCATTGTGTCTAAACTGTAAGATACTTGCTATAAATAGCACATAGAGAGGAAAATGTATAGACTAAATCATATCTGAATTCCCCCACCCCCACCCCCAATAATGGTTTAGGAATGTTCAGAATGTTTGAGTTATGAATGTTATCATCCATATATTTTGAACTGAGTTAAAAATATTGTGAAAATAGAAAAACAGTAATTGAAATCTGGATCCATTTCCTTCAGATCTCTAAGGAAAAACATTTTACGATTTGCAATTTCTTTTGTCCATCCTATGGGTTGTCTGTTCACTTTCTTGATGAAAAGACAACCCACTAAAGCACAAAAGTTTTTAACTTTAATAAAGTTTATCTATTTTTTCCTTTTGTCTTTTGTGATTTGGTGTTACATCTAAAAAAATGATTGCTAAGTTCAAGGCCATGAAGATGTGCTCTGCTACCTTCTAAGAATTTTATAGTTTTAGCTCCTACATTTAGGTCTAGACTCTGTTTTGAGGTTCATATAGAGTGTGAAGTAGTAGCCCAGCTTCATTCTTTTGCATATAGAGATCCAGTTGTACCATAACATGTTGGAAAGTCTGTTCCAACACTAACTGGTCTTGGCACCTGTATCCATCAGTGTTCTCCAGAGAAATAAGATCAATAGTAAAGAAATTAGCTTACATTATTGTGGAGCTGGTATGACTGAAATCTATTAGGTGCAGACCAACAAGTGAATTTCATGTAAAAGCTGATGTTGAATTCTGAAATTTGCAGAGCAAGCCAGCAGGTGTTTTGTGTTGCAGTCTTGAAGCAGAATTGCTTTTTCTCAGGAAAACTCAGTCTGCTTTCCATCAAGGCCTCTACTACTTGGATGAGACCCACCCCCCTGGTGGAGGTTAATCTGCTCTACTTAAAATCAACTGATTTTATTTATTTATCATTTATTCATTCATTCAATCCTCACCCCAGGACACTTTCTCCACTGATTCCTCAAAGAGAGTGGAAGGGAGGGCAGAGACAGAGACAGAGACAGAGAGAGACAAATATTGAGGTGAGAGACACACGCTGATTGGTTGCCTCCTGCAAGTGCCCAACCAGATCCTGGGATCAAGCCCAAAACTGGGACATGTGCTCCTGCCTGGAATAGAACCTACAGCCTTCAGTCCGAGGGTCGACACGCTAACCATTGAGCAAAACTGGCCAAGGTTCAACTGATTTTAAATATTAATCACATCCAAAAATCTAGTGTTTGACCCAACAACTGGTATTAGCCTTACCAAGCTGAAACATTACCCATCACAGAATTCTTGTAAAACATCAATTGACCACAAATATAAGGTTTCCTTCTGGATTCTCTATTCAATTCCATTGATCTATATGTCTATCCTTAAGCCAGTACCACAGTGTCTTCATTATTGTAGTTTTGTTTTTAAAATCAAGGTGTGAGTCTTCCAACTTCTGTTGGGTTCAAGATTGTTTTGGTTATTTGTAGTCTCTTGCAATTAATGTGAATTTTAGATCAACTTGTCCATTTCTGAAGGGGATAAAAAGCAGTTGAAAGTTTAACAGTTATTATCTTAAATCTTGTGTGTCAACTTGGAGAGTATTGCCATCTTAATATTAAGTCTTTCAATCCATGCATATGTAATGAGTTTTTATTTGTTTAGATCTTCCTAAATTTCATAATAAAATGTCCTCCTTTGTCTCTGATAACAATTTTATTATAAAATCTATTTTGTATGATATTAGTGTAACCATTTCTGGTCTCTCAGATACTTTTTTTCATGGTATATCTTTTTCCAAACTTTTTCTTTAAACCTATCTGTGTTCTAAAGAAAAATATTGTACTTAAAAACTTAAATTCTTCTAAGTATATTTTCATTTCAGGTGGGTGTTAAAATGTAGCAAATAGTGTTTTTAAATTCATTTACCTCATTTAAGAGAATATAATCAACATAAAAAATAAAAGGTATTCTTCCTTTCCCCAACTCTTAATCAGTCCTTGATTTAAGTTATAAGTATATATTCTACAAGATCAGATCTGGAGTCACTTACCTTCTAAAGATTCACAAATCTGTTTAATGTCAAACCAGCAGGGAAAAGAAATTCCTCAGCAAGGAATTGCTCAGAAAGTACTGTACCATGTCTCCAAATTCCTGAGAATCAAGTCAGAAAACTGGAAGCAACTGAAAGCACTATAAGGTAGGTTATGTTCACTTTGTGACAAGCCACTTCCTAAATCTAATGAACAAAGTATGGAGGACACCTATGTACAGCTAGCTGGTTATCTTATTCTCTAGTAAAGCACTGTCCAATAAAAATATGTGACTCACAAATGTAAATTACATATGTAATTTTAAAGTTTCTAGTAGATATATTTTAAAAAGTAAAAAATAGGCAAAATTGTTAATATAGTTAATTATAGTTTATTAACAAATATAATCACATATTTTATTTAAGCCAATATATTATCATTTCTACATGTGATCAATGTTAAATTGTTAGTTATTCTTAATTTCCTACTAAGTCTTTGAAATTTAGTGTGTATTTTAATTAAAAGCACATCTTTATTTGATAGAAAAGCACACATTTCAAGTGATTAAGAGCCATAAAGACTAATAGTTACTATATTGGACAATGCAGCTATGGCATTTAATGTTGAAAATGGCCTTAAAATGCTCTATGATGATCATAGCAAACTGAATTTTTTTCTTAACCACAATTATTATGCATTGCCATAACAAGACTATTTATGTAATAGGATTATAAAAACATAAGGATGGCTGGTGTGGCTCACCAGTTTAGTGTGGAACTATGAACCAGAAGATCATGGTTTGATTCCCAGTCATGGCACATGCCTGGGTTGCAGGCTAGATCCCCAGTGGAGGGCATGCAAGGGGCAGCCAATCAATGATTCTCTCTCATCATTGATGTTTCCCTCTCTCCCCCCCCCCTTCCTTCCTCTCTGAAATAAATTTTTAAAAATATTTTTTAAAACTAAAAAACACATGTAATAACCTAACAGGTAGAGGTGCAATCAGAATTAAATTTGTAAATTTGTAAATTTGTAATTCAATCTGCATTAGTAATGATGGCTAACATTTAAGTATTTACTCTGTACCAGGCACTATGCTAAGTATTTTAACGTATGATGAAAGGCACTTCTATCTCCACTTCATAGAAGAGAAACATTGATCAGTTGTACATACACCACACATATACACACACACACACACATGCATTGCAACCAGGGATCATACCCACCATTTGGGCATGTGCCCTGACCAGGGATGGAACCCATGGCCCTTCTGTGCATGGGATGATACTCCAACAGAACCACACTGGCCAGGGCTGTCGTAGTTCATTTATATTATCTAAACTCGCAGGCGTCTTCAAACTACGGCCCGCGGGCCACATGCGGCCCGCAGAGGAGTCTGATCCGGCCCACCAGGTTTTTTGGGCAGTGAGCGCAGCCGAGGTGTTACAGTAGGAATTAGTAGTTCATATAGTCCGGCCCTCCAGCTCTCTGAGGGTCCGTGATCTGGCCCCCACTTTAAAAAGTTTGAGGACGCCTGAAAGTGACCTTCATAAGTTGCGACATAGAGGGCACATGTGCTTACAACTATCAGGCCAAGTAGTTGTAGTTCTTTTAGAGTCCTGGGTCAACTTTTAACAAATTACAGATTGTTCATTTGGTAGAATCTTCTTTTATTTACAGCCAGCACCCAATAAGCCAGAAATATTAAGGTACGGCGTTATTAAGGCAAGACCAAATTCTACCCCAGTTGAGAGAAGCTTTCACAGAGGTTTTATAAGCCTAACTTCTCTGGCCACCTCCCATGTCTAGGACACTCCCTTCAACATGGAAGTCCATACAACCAAGAAGAGTAGCTGGAGAAGATAATGCATGTTCTCTTTCTAAGGATTTAGGACCAGGCTGTGCAGAGAATTTTGACAAACATCAAAAATCCTAAGTTACCTGGGTTTCATAAAACAGTTGAGAGAAACTTCCAGTCTTTCATTTTCCCAACCTCACCCTTTTTCATAAGGGGATTTAAATGCTCTAAGCAAATATTCTCCAGATCTTAACAGGGGTCTTGTCAGGTCTAATAAGCTAACAGGAAAGGCATCAGGAGCCAGCCATTCACAGTCACTCAGCCCAAAGCAGTGGCAGCTAATCAGGAGAAAGCAAGACAAATTTTCTACCCTTCCATTTGATTTTCAAGTATAATGTATTGTTGGGACATTTGTGATGAATAACACCATACTTTTATTATTATTCCACTTTATAGGTGAGAAATTGAGGCTTAGAGATATTATGTGCTCACCCAAGTTCACATCACTTCTTAGAAACTAAAGACTGAAATCCACTTGAGTTCACAGTTCATTACCTTTGATCATCTATTCTTGGGAAATAAGCTCCCTATTTTGAAATCTATATAACCGGTACTTATGTTGGAATTTCTATTATTTAACAATTATTGAACAAATATATGTACTCTCCAGAGTCACTGCCAATAAAAACACTTACCACAGCAGGTGTTAAAAAATAACTGAAAATCAGGCCACACTCTTGAGTAAGCCTCTAGACAATTTATCTCATTTCACTGGTAACCTAGTAATTAAAAATGGTTTATAGTATGTGATTCCCAAAATCTTAATAACGATAGGTGAGGAAAAAGCCTCCTTAGGATCCAGACTTTACCACTGCTGACAAGACAAAAAAAACAAAACAAAAAACCTACTTCAAATTAATGTACATAATGATCTATCTTTGAAGAAATAATGTATTATAAAAATGACAAATTGTCACATCTAAGAAACCTCAATTCTACAAAAATAGGTCTGTAAACCTTTCATAGAGAAGCTTATCATTGTCACAGCTAAAACTTTCTAAGGGAGTTTTCTCCACAAATCAATTAGAATCCTTTAAAATACCTTGGCTGACAATCACAATTGCATGGGGATCCCAGGGCCTCTGCCCAGAGATTCTGGACACAGTGGCCCAGATTCTAATGTACAGCCAAGGTTTTAAATTCGCCAAAAGGCAAATGTTTTTGTTTGGTTTGGGGTTTTTAAAATTATTTTTAATTGATTTTAGAGAGGAAGGGAGATGGAAAGATAGAAACATGAATGATAAGAGAGAATCATTGATTGGCTGCCTCCTTCACTCCCCCTCATGGGACTGGAGCCCACAACCCTGGCATGTGCCCTTGACCAGAGTCAAACCCTGGACGCTCTTCCCCGGAGCCAAACCGGTTAGGGCAAGCACGGCAAATGTTTTAAGTCGACTTCCAAAAGAGCAGAACTTCAGCAGAATAGTCAACAAGAAATTCAATTTCCTAAATTAAATACTATGGACTGCCAGAGGTGGAGTACTCTCTACCTCAACCAATGTGTAATCCCGTTAGAAACGTGGTGCCCCTTTTGAAGCAAAAATGAATTGTGTTCTTTTTTCCACTACAATGCAGTGGGCAGAGTAGGAGCTCAACAGAGGTGCCCTTTGGTTTCAACATTGCTCTCTCAGCCTTTGGCAGTTCCTGTTGTAAAGGAAGATTGGATGTGTTATCTATGCACTAGAGGCCAGTGCATGAAATTCACATGCAAAAGTAGGCCTGCCTTCCCTCTGGCACCTGGGATTTGAACTTCCCTCTGGCCACTGGCTGGCACCTGGGACCCCGGGCTTCCCTTGTAGCCCCAGCTTCACCCTTTCTAATTTTTACTAATTAGTCCGGTCTAATTAGCATATTATGCTCTTATTATTATTGATTAGTGTGCTGCCACTTAAATAAGGTCTCTGAGCCCCCAGTAGCTGTGAGGACCAATACACAGGAGAGATCAACCCTACAAGCGAGTGCTGCTCAACTTCTCAAAACCAAAGGGCAGGACCCCCCCAAACCCGGGATTGAAGGAAATAGTCAGGGACCCTGGGGTGGAGAGGAGCGGAGGCGTGGGTGCTACAGAGCCTGCCAGGACAGCCTGGGGCCGAGGAGAGACCTGGCGGGAGAGCCCAGAGCTGAGGGACCCCTCTTCCAGGCCAGCCCAGGGCGTGAGTCAGAGGGAGCGCAGGCTGCGTCTAGGGGTGGCCAGAGGGTCTGACAGATGGAGGGTCGGTCGCGGGAGAACGGATGTTGTGGAACTTAGTGGGAAATGGGTTTCAAAGGAGCTCTCTCCCTAGGACATCAAGGTTTGGGGTCGCAGGAGCCAAGGGCGCAGGAGCTGGAGGAGCTCCTGGGGCAGCGGGGATGGGGCCAGCCAGCCGGCCGCGCCGAAATCTCCCGCGCTCTGAGCTGGCCCCTCCTCCAGGCCGGGCCTCGAGCCCCCTCGCCGCGGCCAGGCCCGCAAGTCGGCTCCTCCCGCCTCCCCCGCGACGCCGCCGCCGGGGCCCCACTTCAGTGGCTGAGTCCCGGCCAGCCTGACCCAGTCCTAACCCAGCGGCACGCCACGCGCCGCCAGTGACGGCACCGCAGGGTGCGTGGCCAATCGGAGTGGCTCCCGAGGAGGCGGCTTCGGCCCCGCCCCCTACGCCCGGGGCCAATGAGGGCGCCGACGCCGGCGGCCGCGGCGGGGTGAGGGGTCGCGAGGCCCCGCCCCATCCGCCCCTTTCCCCTTGGCCCCGCCCCTTCCCGCCCGGCCCAGCTAGTCCCGCGCGCACAGCTGGTGCCGGTCCCGGCGCTGGGCCCGCCCCCCGCCCCTCCCGCCGGCCCGCCAGCGCGCCTCACGGCTCCTGTCTCCCCTCCCTCCTTCTCTCTCTCTCTCTCTCTCTCTCTGTCTCACGCCTAGCGCAATGGCGGCGGCCGCGGCGGAGCAGCAACAGTTCTACCTGCTCCTGGGAAACCTGCTCAGCCCCGACAATGTGGTCCGGAAACAGGCAGAGGTAAGCGGGCTTGTCACCCAGATGCCTCGCCCCGGCCGGCGCGCCGATCCCGCCCGCGACACGCCACACCGGGCCTCTGCCGCTCAGCCGCGGCGGCGGCGCAGGCCGGGCCGGCGGGCGGCGGCGGCGGCAGCTCAGCCCACGTGTGAGGCGGCGCACGGACCCCCCCCCCCCCACGGCGCTGCCCGGGGGCCCTCCCGACTCTTGCAGCCACGGGGCCCGGCGCCAGTTTCCTCCCGCCGCCGCCCCTCGCACACACGTGCGGCCGCTCCTGACATCCTGCCCCCGCCCGGACCGGGAAGCCGGGCGGCGGGTTGGGCTGTGGGGTGTGGGGCGGACCCCGGGGTTCCCCTCGCCCCTTTCCCGCTTTCTCCTAGTGGGAACCTCCCTCGCTCTTCTCCGTGGTATCCACCCAAGCCCGACCTTTTTTTTTCTTTTTCTTTTGGTCTCCCAAACCCTGGCCGCCACCTGACCCATCACCTCTGCTTCTTTCTCTGCTGCCCGCCCCCCCCCCCCCCTAAGCTACCATCTGCCCCTCTAGTCCCAACCTCTGCTTTTGAAGTGTCTGTCTAGCCCTTTTGCCTTCTTTCCACTTATCCCCACGTAGCCTTCTTTCCCTTCTCTAGTTCCTAATAGCAGAAGCTGGATGTCCCACCTCTTTCCCAAGGTCTTGTGAAGTTACCTTTAGGGTTTCTTCCTAAGCAGCTTCCACCTTACTTTGCTCTTCCTTTCGGGAGAAGTCTTTGATCTCTTAGAGATTTGTGGTCTCATAACGTTAAACGGGATGTCCTGGGACTCCCGTTGTTTCACCGGGCCAGTGCCATATGTTGAAGTCTTGCATTTTCATTAAAACTAACCGGAGAATCTTTTTTTTTTTTTAAACTACCTCCGGCTGCTGGCCTCCGAAATGTGGAGCTGTGATAACAGTTTCAAAAGACAGTCTTGCGA